GTCTGTGGGGCGGACCTGCCGGTGGTCCACAAAGACCTCTGCCTCACCGTCTCCACCTCAGCCATCCAGGTGGAGCACATGAACTCGTAGGCTGTCTCTTCCTGCTCGGTTTGAGGAGTTATTTTTCTGTGTCTGCAGTAGAAGAAAAACCGTGGATTTGAAACGAGTCATTTACCTGGATTCAATGTTCCTGCCTTTTTACACCAAACACACATTGGAAGTGAAAGTGAAGGGGTTCAAAAATAGTCAATTGCTCAACTTTGCCAGAATATTGGAGAATATTGTAATGGGTTAGTCAGCAGGTGTCAGTAGGGATGTCCGACATTAACTTTTTGTTGTCCAAACACTTTACTTCCAATTCCAGGTAATATTTATTTATTTCTCTGTACAAACCAGAGGAGGAGCTGCTGGTACCAGCGTTCTGGATATGGTCTCCTGATTATTGAAATAGATTAATGAACTGAGCTACAATGCTGCCATCTAGTGGCTTTCACCTTCATGTTCATCACATCATTTGGTGAAACCCAGGCATTGCATTATTGGGTTTTCTGAGGAAGAACCGAAGATTATTTCAGATATTATCATAACTTTGCTAATATCCAGTAGCCGATATTATCGGACATCTCTAGACCTAAACTTAAACGTGTAGAATATGCAGGAATTTGTGGTCCCTGTTGCATGTAGTTCTCTATTTGTCCTGCAGAGGGATTCTGCACATTCTACTTCAAACTGAAATGTTAAATGTAGAAATCTTCCAGTTTAAAAACAAAAAAGCATTGACATTGAACTTGGCATAAATAACTCATTCCAAACGAGGATACTGCACAACTTTGGTCACTATTCCTGAGCCCAGTCCTGGAGGGATTCTAACAGTAGAACTGCTGGTTAGAGACCGCGTTAGTTTGCAAAACAAATAATCCACTCATTTGATCAGTGGTGAAGTCACTAATACTTAGTTAGTGTGTCAGTTTCTCCACAGAACAGACATATTTAATTACTGCAAACCAATCTCAGTGACATCAAACAGTTCAAAGATTAGGCTCATTATTCTTTTGGTGTGTAAGAACAATGAATACTCAATGTACTGCGATATATTTTGTTTCACAATACTATAATGATATTCTACAGCCAAGATTGGATTTTTCTTTATTACCAGTTAACAGATCAAATATTCATGGTGTTTACCATGATGACAGTTTTACTAAAACCTCAATATATCGCTGTGCCTATAGTATTGCAGTTTATCGCAATATATCGTATCGCCGCCTGTGTATCATGATACGTATCGTATCGCCAGATTCTTGCCAATATACAGTCCTAGTAATTACACACCAGTCAGATGTTCTCCTGGAGTATTTGGTACTGTTCCCCCGGGGTCTGGTACTAGTTCATGCAGTACTAGTACTAAGACCTGATGTTTAACCAGCAGTTTTACTCTGAGGGTCTGGATCAGGGAGGTTCACTGGAGAACTTTCTCTTTCTTTTATTGCATTTTTTGCAATAGGCATCACATCCCGAGGCTTGAGGTGTAAAATATCTTTGAAATGGAAAAAAATCAAATATTATTCTCTGTACATTTATGGTCCAAAGAACAATGAACTTTTAAAAACAAAAAAACATATTTAGATCACATTAATCTGAACTTTTTAAAAGTATTCATTTCAAGCCAAATCAAGTTGGAAAAAAAATGGTCAAAAATACAAACTGAGGCACTGAGAGCAGGACAGACGGTGCTACAGGTGCGGAGGACGGTTCATTAACGGACGCTGTCGTTGTAAAGAGGGACAGACCAGGAGCTGTGGGGAAGACAGGGGGCGCTGCAAGGACGTGGAATCACTCCACAAATGGAGTGAAACGTCCAGTTTTACACGCCACTCTCGCTGTTTGAAGATCGCGGAGCGTGAGGAACCGTTTCCTGGGAAAATGCACTAAAATAG